ATAAATTTATTTGAAAAGTCGTGCAAGCTGACATATCCTTCAGAAGTACAACATAGACGGTTCGGAAATCTTTAACGATTCCGTTTTATTGGAAGTTTTGTGGACCAAAATATCCGGTGATGAGCAACAGGCCACTTCTTCGAAATCTTTTGTCTCAGTAGAACCGAAGACGGAGAAGACTTCTTCAGAACCAAAGGACGCAAGCAAAGATTCTAATAAGGATACTGGAAAGGATTCAAAGGAATCTACTGCAACAAGTTCACGAAGTAGTCCCAGTCTTGAAGACGACAAAGTGAGTTTGTTTGTGTTGTAAAGGTTCAAAAATTTAATGCTATAACGGAGAAGCATTGTTTTTCTTACTTTTTTTTATTTGTATGACGTAGTTATGTAGGAGGTTTCTTACATCGGAGTTTCAGGATAGCAGTCGTCGGAAGAAATCCCATCCCGTTAAGCGCCCGATTTCACCAGATGACTGAGTTAACTTTATCGCTAGAATAAGCATAGCGAACGTGAACCTGTATAAATACTGTTTACCGTTTCCAGTGCGTCTCCCACATCGAAGCATGCACTTGTGACAGAGCACTTTTTGTTTCTACTGATCAATTACGATAGCACTGAGCGTTAAAGTATGAGAAGTGCCACTGCCCTTGAATACATATTTTTCGTTCTTTGTATTCCAGTTTGAATGATTTTTTTTTTCTTTGCATTACCCAAGAAGGTTTGTAAGTGCATTTGATCTTTTTTTTTCCCATAGAACTCTTCATGAATCAGGCATTTAGGCACCTTGCAATCTGCGCGCTATCGTTTGTTGTATTTCGCAAAGAGGTTTATCCTGATTCTGCAGCATAGACGTTGAAAATAGTCACTAAGCTCTGTTTTGTATTGTTTGAATGTGGAGGTATGGCCTGCTGGAGAAAAATGAAATGAAAAAACGAAATAGTCTGAAATGAAACATTAATTCAATCTTTTCTGGTAGACAATGAAAATCTCATGAAATGATTGCGAACAATTTAAATTGCCTGCATTATTAAATATCTAAAGCAGATCACAGACTAATACTTCATTACTAAGTTATGAAATATGTAAAATTAAAGACATAGAGGAGTGGAACCTAGTCGATTTGTTGAACTTTTCTAGTAGATTATGTAAAGCTCCATTCTTGAATATGTATTGTATATAAATAAATGTGTATTGCTTCATATCAGTTCCGTGCACCGCACTAGTTTTCTGAACAACATAATTGTTCAGCTCTCGATATAAATTGAAATTCTTGGTAATTGATTTTCAGAAGATCTGTTATTTGTCCTGCTGATTAACAGTCCCCGTCCAAGAAAATAATTGCCTGCCTCAACAAGCGGTCTTGGAGCGAGTTGTCGTCAATGCATGAGAAATTTTTGGAACTGTCGTATAAACGGTACTTTTTGGCATAAAAAAACGGTAGAGTCGTGATGGAGATGTTTATTACTTGCTCAGAAGGTTCAGGATGTATTCATCCCAGTCGGGTGAGATAAGTAAATGTCAACTAACAAATACATATGACCTGGTTGTAAATGAATAAAACAATTCTAAACTTTAATGTGTCTTCTTGAAGAACAAGAGAAAAAATTAATGACTATCACGAGTCAAAAGGACGGCAGAGATAATAGCATCTGATTAAATCCCCGTATATTAATTAAATTTGTAAACAGAGTTTCTCAGGAAGATTATTGGAGCACTACAGCTAAGATTATTACTAATTAATTATGGAAAAAGCTGAAACAAGCCTTAATATTTTATTCACCTAATAGTTTCCACGTTCTTGTACCACATTTCCATGATGTGCATACTATCTCCCTGTTATTTATTAGATAATTCTTTAATACCGTGTATGATTTAATTCTATAATGGTTATAGATACAGCAAATGAATTAAAAACTTGAAGGAGATTCGAACTCTGTCAACACTATTAACAGCATTCGTGAAATGAACGAATGCTAAAAGCACTACAATTCTCGAAATTACACTTTGCGGAAACATATATAGTTCTATGTTAAGTGAAGCAATGCTAATAAATATGAAATTATATCAGAAAATTCGAACAATGTGCACTATGAAAATTGACATATGCTCTTAAATAATCAGTATTCTATATCAGTATCTTGTTCAGCTCAAATAACGAGTCTAAATTTACCATGCAGAGCTGCATTATAAGGAAAACAAATCTATGAAACAGGCCTTCTGACTGAAGAAAATCCTCTATTTAACGTACTATTTTATTTAGCACTGAGCTACGAACAATTTTCCATCCATGGAATATCTGCAAAAGAAGAAAATAATACAAACTATAGAATTTCAATAAAAAACGGAGCTAGCAGAAAATAAATATGTGTCTAGAAATAGGATCTGCTTAACTCCCTAACGAAAAAGTTTAGCAGCTTACTCTCTAACCAATAAGAGATAATGACATAATCGAAATAAATGCGAACCTCTTTCGGAAAAACAATGGTCCTTGGGACGACGGTTTCTTTTAAAACTGTAAGTTTCTGTGTTACTTGATCCGAGTCTAAGGACTAAATATCAAGATAGAGACTTTTAGCACTCCAACCACTATGCCAACTTTTATTCCGGTCCTGAAAATAATTGAAAATAACATTATATTTATCTGCACAAAAGAATCTTAAAAGAATCGTAAAACATAAATAAAGTTGGTAAAAATTATAGGGATACATTTATTTAATTTCGAACTGTTATCGATGTGAGTTCTACATAATCATAAAATACAGTACAAACATTATGAAAAAAAGTTGTAAAAGCATTTTTGATGTTAAAAATATTATAAAAAAGTGATTTTAAAAAAGGAACCATTTTAATATCTATTTTTAAATTGTAAAAGATGTATGCTATGTTCTATCAAATGTACTGCACAAGATGATCAGATGGATTAAATGAATTATCTTAAATACTATTTTATATTACCATCCTGCCCGAAAATAAGCACTAGCATATTGTATTCTGTTTTCTATCATTTGATTTAGATTGTAAGAAATGACTGAAGAAATTCCATTAAATCAATGTTATTTTTTCTAAAAGAAAATGTGATTCTAAAACACGAGTAGAAATGACGCATTATTTCTTCTTAAATGTCTTTTTTATTTTTATATGTGCTAAATTTGTATAAAAATCATAATCTAAAATTTCTATCATAGTATAAGTAAAAGCGGAATTTTTTGTATTTTTAAAAATCTTAGGTCTTAATACAACGTTGAAATCATTACTTCTGTTGATACTAAAACAAATTCGCAAATGTCCAACATAATTAAAAACAATACAAACATCTGTAACAATAAAACTTTAAACAACAATACCTCATTCTTCTTCCTCGTTAGCACAGATTGATATTTATTATACACGAGAGCTTTTTCAATTTCTTTAAAATTTTTTCTCAAAATTTACTACCACTATGTTTCCCTCAGATCGGAAAAGAAAATCATGATAAAGAAAAGTGAAAAATGTGCTCCAGTAACAGATGCACTCATCTGCCATTATTTAATATTTTTGTAAATTTTAAGATACTAAAATTGATATTATTAATTTTGAAACTTTTATTTAGCATACAAGTCTTTCATATTCAACTTAGCTTTACCTAGTTCGAATGTTCGAAATCTTATAAAATAACGGATTAATTGGCTTTATGCTGTAGCAGAAAAGTCCACACACTTCAAGATCGCTTCAAAATTTTCTGTTAATCATATATTTAATGAAAGCTTCAGAGTTATGAAAGTACTATTTTAAAGTTAGCTTGCAATAATTTAACTACTCATAATAAAAGCATTAACTTGAGGATTCCCATCCCTTCTGCTTATTACAGAAAGTAAAGAAGCAAGGCTTCAATATACCATATGCTATGTTAAAATGAGGAATGTAATATGAAGCTTAAAATTACTCATTGTCAAAAAATTTTCATTTTACTCACATGGAAAATACGTTATCATCAATTAATGTAGATGAATAAGTGATGCAAAAACAATAAATCTTCATAAAAAATTTCGCCAAGATTTACAAATGAAATAGTACATGCACTAAGTTATCGTACCATCTCAAACTACTTTCCATCAGCAATGCGATTACTCAAACAAAAATCAAATCCTAACATGTAATCAAATGATCGCCTTCCCTATTGGATCATTTCTCCTCCCGAAATATAAAACAATTAAAAAAAGCGATATTGAAGTAAACAATATATTACATACCGTACCAGTCGTCGGAAAATTGCCATTATTTAGCACATTGCACGATTTTCGGACAAAATAACCCTTAAATGATTTGAAATGATTATGAGAGACAGTGTGAATACTGTTGAGGGTACAGCATTGCAGAGGATCGTTCAAGAAAGAGAAATCGCACTGATGCTAAAATCATGAAAGCACGATGCAAGTCCATTTCCTGCATTCATTTCTGTCAACCAAACTAAATGTTAGTTATTGTAGTACAATGTGCCATTAATACTAATTGAACAAGTTAATGATATTGGTCAGAATTGTAGTAACTTAATTTATACATAATTATAATGAACTTTTTAAAGTATCATCTAAAATTGAATTCCTGTGACACTTTGAAATATCACACGAATCACTCATACAAATATCATTTAAAATGATAACATTAAAAAATTTTACATTTCTTATGCATATAGCACAGAGAAATCATTGGTGACATGACAAATCACAAATACGAAGTATTCAAACACGCTTGCGGAAAAAGCATTGAATTAACGCTTGCATTTTGGTTTTTCGCAACGCGTCGCTGAACCGACACTTCACGATTGTCGAGACCGAGCTTTTTAGCAATGAATTCATAAGGTCATGAGCGGGTATGTATGCGTGGTTGTGGGTTTTTTGGAACTTCTGGTTTTCTTGGTTGTTTTATTCTCGTAGTGCTCCCTTTACAGCACTCATATAAATCATTTCTTTTATTTTTTTTGAGATGAATATGAGTTATACTTTCGCACAGATAGTTCAGAAATGTTTCAAACCGTTGAGAACGAAGACGGAGAAATGTCGGGTGAAGTAAGCAAGGAAGCAGTAAATTGACAGACAAAAGGGAGTGGATTTGGTCGTGAGGTATTACAAAATGTAAGTACACTGTTAAGCATCACTGATAACTTACAGAAATCAATCAATAGTACAATCACTGGTTCTTAATATAGGCAGAAAACAGCATTTGCGTTTATCATGCAAGATAACCTGTAACATTAAGTACTTTTTGGAATTCATTTTTTTTCTGTAAGATCTGAAAATCATTTTTCCCTGTCCTCAGTCTATTTCTCCGTTATTTGTGATAACTCAATATTGAAATATTGATATTGGATGCAATATGCGTTCAATTAATAATCTATCGAGTATATGTGGTATTAATAACTTTACTGGTAAGATTATGTTTACGAAATTGAAGGATTGATCGGAATTACGCAGGCGCATATTTTTGGTATTCTCAATTTTAACATTACTGGTAATGACCGAATATATATCTGAAGACGATTTGGTGCAATGGCAGAATTCATCGACTGATGACTTCATCAAAAATCTGAAACGAATTAATGATAATTTTGAAGAACATCATGTATTTGGCCATATTGATGTCGATAATAGAAATCGGATACAGGCCATTTTCTGTGAGCGTTTTCACGAATCGTCAGCAATTCGTCAACAAATCCTTCGCTTTTTGCGGATTCTAGCGCGCGATAAGCAAAATTTAGATCGGTTGTTATCTCCTAGCATGGTACAGAATGTATTTGGTGCTGGCCTCTTGGCTGAGCAGTCTTTTGAATTTGAATGGGAATCATTCATCCAAGCTGAAATGTGTCTCATAAATATACTTTTCAACAGTAGTCTCGCGAGGAATGAGTTTAATGAAACTGTTTCAAATCTGCTGCTTAATCGAATTAGACTGTTGAGCGAAACTCCAAGAAGTTCCTCTCGGCAGCAGGACACTGATGACATTTCAGTTACTTTCCAAGATATTACCATTTCTGCAAAATCAAAAATTCCTGAATTCCTAATTAAAATGCTAGATGACGAGCAAATAGATTTAGTTGCTTTTTACGATCTACGTATTGCATTTGTTGCAAGCGCACAATCTAAGGATTTACAGTTGCAGTGGTTAAAAAATGGGTGTGACGTTTTCCTGAAAGTATTGGAGCAAAGTTTACATTTTCCGGGACGATTGAAACAAAATTCGCGTCGGAATTTTGTAGAACACACGAATTGGGCATTAAAAGTTTTGTTTAATATATTTTGCTATTCATGGGATGATTCTGCCGAATGGAATGCAAAGCAGTGCATGTTATTATGCGCAAAAATTGTCATCTTAGAAAACGTTGACCCATCTCTTGAGCAATCCGCGATAGATGTAATTGCAGTATTGCCATTATCATACGAATGGTTGGCACCGAAATTACAGGACACGGAGATAGAGAAAAATGATACAAGTATAGTCCATGGCGGACGTGACATGACTTTTGCGGATGCTGTATTGCGTGCTTTAGAACGACGATTGGAAGAGGAAAATAATGAGGTAAACGAGCTTCTTGGCACATTTTTAACCGTTTTGATACGTTTGAGTTCTCAAGTGAAAGAGGCGCGACGTTATTTACGTTTACTGGTTATTCCACCACTTCATGCTGCCGATGTTGAACGACGACCGGATGATGGTGCTGAATTGCGCAATCGTATGATACGCTTGATGATGAGCATTTCGAACACTCAGGACTTGGCAGCTGAATTCATTTTCATTTTATGTAAAAAAAGTGTTAACCGTTTCGTGAAATATTGTGGTTTTGGACATGCAGCTGGTTTGTTGGCTAATCGTGGCATCTTAAATACTATGAATACCCCGAAACATCAATCGGATAGCGAAGCTTCAGAAACGGAAGATTATAAAGCAGTTGAAACACAGGTAAATCCAGTAACTGGTTGCATCGAGCTTATGGGAGAAAATCCGTTCGCTGGGATGAGTGAAGAACAAAAGGAATATGAGGTGCATCGGTTGATGAATGATATTGATAAGCTGATGAATCAAGGACTGATAACTCCAGGACAAATCGGAAAAGATGGACAATTATCGCCTGTAAAACATGTGCTGGAGCTTGTCAAAGATTGTGATGCTGAACCTGATAAAAGTGATAGCGAAGACGGTGTTGGATCCTAACTATCGTCGAATTATGATTCATTCATTATATGCCTATCTTATTAATAGTGGATAATTTGGATTACAATTTCTGACGTTGACTTGCATTAGAAAATTAGTGATATGTGATCAAGATAGTGCGAAAATGCTTCAAGATTCTACCTCAGTTTATATGTTTTCAAATTAGAAATCTGATTATAGCATCTTTTCAGTAATTTCGACCTAAAAATTAGTCTCGATTTTTTTTTTTGCTTTCTTGCATTTTTATTAGAACTTCTTCTACTTAGTGCTTATTTTTAGGTTTCCGTCTGCAAAAATATAATACTATTACTTAGATTGAAACTTTTTGCGGCAAAACAGTTTTATTTGCACACTTTTGATGTGATGCGACTTATTTTTTATAATTTCATGCTGTTTTTTTGAATCCGTCAAATTTGTATAATTTTCGTTATGTTCGTATATTTGTTAGATGTTTTTGTGCTGTTGATATGTTTCATAATAAATATTTCAGAAAGTGGAAAGCTTATTTTTAACATTACTTTTGCATGTTTAAAATGGCAACTAATAAGGAAAGAAGAAAACTGAAAAAACTGAGAAAGAATATCAATGAGGCGATGTTACTTTCTGGTGATGATCCTACAGCAGTGGATTTGACTTCACTGACGTTTCTTGGGCATTCATTTGATGGTCAGTAGTTTTATCGGCTCGTGCTACCTTTTTATAAATTTTGTTATTTCCGAATGAGCATTCATGTGAAAGAAATATTTCATAAAATTTCAATTCTTTGATAACGGTGCTCGGATTGGATGTGGTTTTGAACGAAATATAAAAGTATTGTTTCAGATAAGGATATTTCCTTGAAATTGCATGAGAAACTGCGGACCATGCGACGTTTAAAAGATCCGCCAAAAATCAGTCTTAATTTAAATAGGCTGAACGGTATGAGGCTTGGAAGTCAGAGTAAGTTTTCCTAATTGTACATTCATCACTTATACTGTAGTTTTGTGTCGACTAAAATTTTGTATCAGTTCAATATATTTATAGATATTGCCGACTTGGTGCATTACGTTTCATTCCACAATGTTGATAAACCTCTCTGGATATCACTAAGGCCAAATCGTGGAATATTACAAGCAGTCATTTTTCGAATTGATTGTGATCTCGAAACCGTGGTAAGCTATCGCGGAAAATTAAATATCCTTCCTCTGTTCACATTGCGGAAACTTATGATTTCTTATATATATATATATGATTAAGTGAAAATTATGATTTCGATATATAATGTTTAAAACTTTCTTAGGAAAGTAACAAGAAGGATACATATATCGATCAATTCTTCGGCTCAAAATTTTTTATCAGGATGCAGACGGAAGTTTGGAACAGTATGGAATTTTGGACGAGAATGCTTAATGTTCAGCTTTCAAAGTTTGAACGTTTAAAGAGAATTGTCAGTGTAAGTTTTATGAAGTTTTCGAAATAAATTTATTTAATCCACGATTATTGCTCATGTTTCTCTTTTTTACTCATGATATCTCACAAGTGGAAAATAAAATCTCTTGTTCTGACTGTTCAGTTATGTTGAATGATAAGAATAAAGCGTGCTGTTTTCAATGACAGAATTTTTTTTCACTTTGTTTTTATAGCAATTTTCACGTTTTAATTTTTTCAGCATGCTAATGTTCTAGAAGAACATATTCAGTGTAATGTGAAAGGTGCAGTACTAGTTACTTTACGACAAATGATAGATTTTTGTTATCCTTTTCCCAAAATGAATTTCATCGAAATCTTGTCACCTGTTATACCAACAAAAGTAAGACTTGATTATACATACGGACTTTTATATTTCATAAATTAATTGTATATGTATGAGGTGTATTTTTTGACTGATTATTTTCTATTTTTACAACCATTTTAATTCCACTTCAATACTGTCTCATCATTTTAGGAAAGGTATGGTAAAATAAAAGTTGATTCACCATTCTTTGCAATTGATTGTGAAATGTGTACCACAGAGACCGGGGAAAGTGAGCTGACCAGGATATCGATTGTATGTTTAAATTGATGTAATTTATTATTGTTTAACGAAGGAATGAAAATGTTTAGCTTTTCTGGATAGAATCTACTGTACATTTCATTCAGGTCAACGAGTGTTATGAAGTTTTGTTGGACACACTTGTGAAACCACGCAATAGGATAACCGATTATGTTACGAAGTACAGCGGTATTACTGAAGAGATGCTTCAAAATGTAAATGTACGAGTTGAGGATGTACAAGTCAGTTTCATTCTGTCTTCATATTCTTAAAGCAGAATTTTGTTACTGAATAACATTATTTCCAACTGATCCTCTCTTGTATGGAAGAATTTTGTATGCATTCACCATTCTATCTGGAAAGCATGTCAGTTCATTTTCTTAATGTATTCGAAACTTTTGCTTGCAACATGTATTTGCTGTGCTAGTATAGAATCGCTCTCCGTTAAAATCTCTTCCACCTACTGTTCAACTTTAGAGACTGAGAGAGCATCTTCAGCCTTTAAGGCGTCATAATGATTAAGAATGCAAAAATTCCTTCCTTTTTTAAAAGTTTTTGCAAAAGAACATATATTTAAAATCAGTTGTACTTCGTTATTTTTCGTTTCTTTATCAAATATTTTAGTTCATGAAAAATAAATCCAAAATAATACATTTCAGAGAGCTTTATCACATATTTTGCCGAATGATGCAATTTTAGTTGGGCATACTCTTGAATGCGATTTCAATGCAATGCATATCACACATCCATATTGTGTCGATATCTCTCTTTGTTTAAATTTATCTGGTAAAGACCGGCAGCGATCATCTCTAAAGGTAATTTCATGTTCAAATTTTATGACTAATGAATTTAACTATTGCGATGACATTATTTCGCGTAACTCTCAATTTGCTTGGTATAAAAAATAAGCTGTTTCTGATAATATGCAAAAACTAAACATATAAAAATTTTTTAAAATTCGGTAGCATAGTAGTTGTTTTATGCAAGAGGTTTTATGTGATTTATGATACATCTTTTATAAAATGGATCTGATTGATTTATAGACATTGGCGAGAATATTTTTGGATGAAGAAATTCAAGGAGAAAATGGACATTGTTCTGTAGATGACGCTGTTATTACTATGCGATTACTGAAATACAAACTTGATCACGGGTGATTATACTATGTACTATATGTCGAAGTTCTGTTCCGATGCTGAAAAGAGTATCAGATTTGTGTTAGTTGTTGTACTATACTCTTACAAATAAAAAATATTTAGAGTTCGTTTTGGGAATGTTTCTTTGGGATGGAGTTTTGATGACTGGGCTCGCGAAAATGGCTTAACCAGTTCTGGAGCGCGCATAGATAAAAGCAAAAATTTATGTTCGGAAACTAGTGCTAATCAAGAACCGCAACGAAAGAAACGATGCATGGATGTTGTAAGTTTTTTTTTCTGAATGTATTGTCTTGTTTCGTTTCTAGAAATTAATTTAAAAGTCATTTCGAAAAAATATCTGTTCTGCTTTTTTCGATATTCTTAAAACCCTTGTAGATTACCAAAAATTAGACAAGGTTCAGCTTTTATTATTCTCCAAATTAGTCCAGGATTCATTCAAGTTTGCTGCTAAACGAAAGCAAAAATTGGTGTTTACAGAAAAATGTAGTACGGACTTGTGATAGATGTAGTAGACCACTATCTGTTGCTTGCATTGTGCCATATTGTGCATGCAAGAAAAATCTTGCAAAATATTGCGTAATATGCTGCTTAAATTCTGTGCCGCCTCAAATATCAAGCGAAGAACCAGCCTTGAATTGGAGGTAACTCCTTTTACTTTTTTTATTTTAAACTCGCTAACCTCCGGAATAACAGTTCCAGAATTAATACATATTTTAGAGAAAATCTTGCATTATTCTTCATTCGCGATATGTCTGTGTTATGGTTTACATTTCAATATCTAATGATTTATATTTCAATATAATTGTCCACTTATCGAATGAATTTTTTTATTTGAAGAATATTTTTGGTTATTATTTCAGTGATGCATTTCAAACTTGTGTCGGTGCATGCGAACCTATTTTGCATTTCTTACAACTTGACAAAGGCAAAAGCGCTTTTTGTGCTATTCCTGGAAACATCAAAGACAACAATGAACAGTTTGTTTTATATTTTCGAAAACAAGTATTTTACATAAAGTCTTTCAGTAAATGTTAAGAAGAAAAAGTTGATGGTCATTTCAATTTCTTTGAATGACACTTGCTTAACGAATAAAATGAAATTTGCAAAAACCCATTTATTTTCAAGTGAAATATATGTGAACACCAATGATTACGATTCGCTGGATGAATTGGTGAAGCGTGTCAGTCAAGAAATAATTTCACATGATGTTGTGATGGTGGATGTTGATACACGAAGGTTGAAAATGAAAGTAGATGAGAAACCTGTCGTAGCTATTGATAACGCTCTTCGAAAAATGATCTCATACGCTTCCTGGAATTCTTTAATTATCGTTATTTTTTCATCTCCACAAGAATCGTTATGTTACATAACTGTGAAAACCCAAAACCATCGGTCTGTTTTGACAAATACTGAGTGATACTTGTTTTGTTGTTTTTCAGCTGCAGTTATAATGTATGTTCGTAATAAAGAAATTGTTTGTTTTTTATTTTTCATTGTTTTGGATATTAAAACCTAATTTGGAATATTTGTCTTTTTTGTTTGGTGTATTCCTTATAAACTCATTAAGACATTTTTTAAAAGAAGTGGTGAAAAAATGGTTTCTTCCAAGTCTATTTAGACTAACAATCTAGTATCTGGAATATTTTAGGGTGCGATTTTTTGAAAATCAATTTTTGTGTGTTTCGATGTCAAGTTAATAAATTTGAGTTGTGAACCGATAAAAGTTGCTAGTTCCTTGATATTTACAGTTATTTCAGCACAATAGCTGACAACAAATTTTAAATTCATAAAGTGGATGTTACGATTTTATTTACTAACTTTTAGATTGAAATTTTATCATCCCACTGCGATAAAAAAGTACTACCTGAAATGGATGAGAAGCAGTAGAATAATTGTTTTCTTTTTCAGTATTCTCCGTGATCTGTTACCGACTGCATCCCTTACTAATGTTGTGTAGAGATATCGTCGCTTGGAGCAGTTTATGCCGCAGCAGACCTTTTGCAATATTCTTTCTCCAGGAATCTACTTTACCGCAGAAAGATGACAAGAAAAAAGTAGTTTTAATTAATCATTTATGTGTGAAATTCGAATAATAAAATACGGTTATTTCATTGTAGCTTCCTGCATTAAGAATATGGAGATGAGATTTAATAGAGTGCATTTCAGTCGATAACAGAACTAGAAAGCAAATTGGGAAAGAAAATACGTTCACTTTTTCACAGGGACGTGCAACCGAATAATCTCAGTTATCCGAATAAATATATGAGACCTGATTTTGATCCCCAGGCAGACATCAAGGATATTGTCACAGAAATGCCTGGTTTTTTATGGAATAATTCTGTGGTTAGTTTTGGAAACAGAATCATGGATTTTTCCTTCATTGCTTTGTTAAAATATGGAATAGAATTAAGACAAAATAGGGGAAGTTTTATTATTATAGAATTCCAATTTGTTTTCGAAATTGGACACAAGCTTTAACTGCTTTGACATTAGCGCTGGTGATTGCTTCAGAGGCTTACAAGGTTCCTTTATCTAGTTGAGGATAATATTCTTTAATCATATCAAGCTTTGAAATACATTTCTCAGCATTTAAATTTTTATCGATTTTGAAATTAATTCTCTATTCAGCAAATAATTAAAGAAATGAAAGATAATTTTGGAATCTACAAACCAAATATCCTTGAAGATTTGGGCAATCTTCGACAGGGCCAGTTCCGAAAAGATATCTCATTCAAAACACCGGAGGTAGTCACTTCAGTTTGATATTGTGTTATACATTTATTTCATTTAAATTTTTGGTGGTGCTTTCAGTTATTTAAATTTAATCATTTAATTATTTTCTTTCAGTCATTTAAATTTTGGCGATGTGGCGCTGATTCAGATAGTAATGAAGGATTTTCAAAATGTGAATTTATATCTACCGACCGAAAAACAGCTTTATTCAGAGGTACATTAAGCACAAAGCTAATAAAGGTTATTTGATATACCTTTTGCAATTTATTTGCTGCTTAAAAGTTCCGGTGTTTATATGCCTCGTATTTTAAGTAAACATTCAAGACTGCAACATCATTTTTTTTAAAGGATGGACGAATTGAACGAGCAGGATGGGCAGCTATTAAACTCGAAGAAAGAGGACCCTTTATGAAAAAAAGATATTTCAGTAAATGGTCCAATTATTCTCATTTCCTTATAAAGGTACTATTATTTTTAAAATTAGGATTATGTGAATTCTTTGAGCTTTCTGAAAGTTTTTATCTAAAATATTTCTAAGGTTTTTTGTACGTCGTATTATTGTTTTTTAAGATTACTAAAGAAAGATTTTGTCGTGTTGTATCCTTTGTAATCTTTGAAAATGCAATTATAGAAAATTTATATTTCAGTGTCGCGGTGATGGGCGTACCTATAAAATTTCATTGAATTCACCACTTTTGTTTGATATTACCTGGGGTGATGCTCATAGTTATTACTTGCATACTCATGGAGGGCCCTACTGGCAATACGAAGCAATTCCCTTCTCGAAGTTTATCCATACTGTACGCAATCGAATAATGGATAAGCAATATCCAATAAAGAATAATAATGTCAGGTATAAAATAAATTTTTATTTATAAAAATTTATACTGTAAGAAAAGAAATTGAACTGAAAATTAAAAAATATTAAAAAAATTAGTTGTTATCGCTATCTTATCATTGTGACAATCATTATAATCATTGCTAATATTACTGATATTTTGATAAAAATATAATTTCTGAGCCATCCTCAGTTCTGATATGTGCAGTTTTCAGAATCTTTTAACTCATTATTTTTCTTTTATCGTGTTCATCGTGATCATCTTCAGATATTTTTCCAGATATTACTGCTTTTTCTCCTGAATTGAAATCCCTAGTTGGATTTTCAAATCTCCACTTATCGTATTTGATTGTTTACATAACTTAAAATTTGAATATATTCACCTGTTTATACACAGTCTTCATTTATTAGATAATTACCAAACAATTTTGAAAGTTTTTGAAGCTTGAAATTTTATAATTTCCTTTGTGAGAGTCCAAGCCTTTTTTACATTCAACGTATTAATACTTTCTCTCTTTCCTAAAATTTTAATTTCAGCTCATTACTGATAATGTTGATGGATAGAATTGATGGCGATTTCTCGCTTGAAATTGATTACATTGGTGTAGTGCACGACAGGAGTCATCTAGAGGAACATTCTTATGAAGCTTATCAATTGCCAATATTGTTCACTGAGGGCACATAGGCTTCTTGGAGATTTTATCTTGCTCGTGTTTTTCATTTGTAATATACTGTTCATTGTATGTATTTTTGTTAGCTAATGTAAGCTTGTTATTTTCTTTTTTAAACAACTATTTTGTTCATAAATTCAAAGTTTTTAGCTCTATAACTGTAAAACTGGCTCATAAACTGCTTCTTTAGTTCGTGCAACAGATTATTTGTCTTCGTTTATCAATCTCATATATAATATTATGTTTCATTTTGTATGCAGATACCCTTCGAAGAGGATAAGCGATATTGATTGTTCTTGATGGATTAATTTTTTTCGAGTGGAACGAAGAAAAAGATTGTCAAATATCAATAATCGTTGATATTTGCATTTTTTTGTTAAACAAATGTTTGACAAAATGCATAATAATAGGATATAAGATTAATTTATTGATTAGTTATTGGATGCATGTGGGGCAGTTGACTTTGGTAAGAGTATTTTCAACAACAGATTTTCCAACGTTACGGATACCAGCACGTATCATATTGAAGAACGTCAGTTGGTTCACCGGTGAAAGTTTGTTATCTTGGAATTTGAAATTATTACCTGTAGTCAAATGTTTATAGAAAGATGAAGTTCTGAGTTCTAAAACAACTATTCTTACCATTATGTCTTAAAGTGTTGTTTTATTCAATCCAATGAATCTCTAATTATTTATTTATAGAAGATTTGAAATTCCATTTTGGTCGTTTTGGCAAGGTGCAAAACGTCAAACTGTTATATGTTGGTTTTGATTTTTCTTTAGTATTATAACAATTTGAAGATTAAGGTGCGTGTTTTATCATAAGAGCAAAGTTTTCATACTCTTCATTAGTTGATATTATAGGATTGGGAAACAGGTTTGCACAAGGGTTTTGCGTTTGTTGTTTTTGAGAGCATTGACGACGCAATAAAGGCTGTACAACAACGAAATCATTATATTAACGGACGACAGGTTAGCCCTTTCTTTTCCACTCTCCAAAAACTGTTATCTTTGGCCTATTTAAATATCGAGCAAAATTTTGCACGAAATACACGTAGATACTTCCCTAAAAATCACTTATATGGTTATCGTATAGTTTTATATTGCAATTCTATTTCAGGTAATTGCAAAAATTGCATTACCGAACTCCAGAAAACAGCAGAAGTAGAATTCTGTTTATTTAATTGAAATTCGTTCGATTTTTCCATCGATTTTTGATTATTTGGGTGTATGTATGTATTATTATTATTTGAGCATTTTTTTTCAAATTTTCAGACGATAACTGTTCACTTTGATTAGATTTATTTTTCAGTACGTAATGTGTTTTTTCCTATAAAATTTAAGTTCATGAATTCTGTGCTAATCTTTTTTGTGTTAATTTAAAAAGAAAATTTTTACATACAGAGATCTGGAGATAAATGGCGACACGTCTAGTTCAAAGATCTGCTGCTGCTCTTAAAACTTTTAAAGGACGGCAGAATAATGCAGAAATTTTTGTTAAAAGAATCAGTTGGGTAACGGGTGCATGTAAGTTATCACTGTACATTATTTTTAAATATAATTTTATCATTTACGCATGCTTTCCACCAAACCTTAACTTCGAAAAAATTTATTTAAATTCAGACAAAACATGGCTGAATTGTTTAACTTCTGCAAATTCTTTTGTTTCAGCGGAACTAACTGACTATTTCTCTCAGTTTGGTAAAGTCCGAAACATCACGCTACCATTTGTAAGTTCCTCTTTTTTAATGTTTATTATCCTTGCTATTATTTAATTCTTTGTCACATTATTTGCTGTTTCATTGCATCACTTATGACTAAATGATTTTCTACCAAAATCAATCTTCTTTCAAACTTGGTATTATTTACTTTGGTATTGAGTTATTATATAATATATCAAAGCATCTATTATAAAAGTCTAAGTTTATAAGTATCAGCTGAACATCTTTCAGGATTTAAGGACGGGTCTGCACAAGGGTTTTGCGTTTATTTCATTTGAAAATAATGATTTCTATGAAAATATCAAGAAATTCGAAGGAAAACACATTATTGATGATCAGGAAGTAATTTGTTCACTAGCGAATGATGGAAAGTCATTGTTATTGACTGATGCTGATGCGATATCAATTAATAACGAAAATAGTTCTGAAATAGATGTTTCAAAGGCAAATCTCGACAATGAAGTTGGGGCAGTTGAATTCATTAGAACGGGGATAAATGTGAAGGGAAAGAACATAAAACATAAAGCCAATCCGAAAATAATTTCCACAAACAATATGGATTATCAAGACTCCAAAGAACGTTCGAAAGAAACAAACTTGCTACAAAAATTGTAAAAAACTGATGATTCGAGAGAGAGATCCGGAAAAAATGGTCTGTTCAACAAGGCAGTTATTACGGATTTGGTAAAAAATGAAGACAGTCACGAAATGGATAAGAAAACTTACACTAATGTATGTTCTTCTAATGGTTTGCATTAAAATATTACAAGGAATGGTTTCAGTAATCAGATTAGTTCATCAAACAAAACTTTTAGAACTCCGACAATTAAAGCTACAAATCAAAAATATTTTAAAAAGGAATCGAATTCGGACCAGGTATAAAGAGCTTGGGTTGTTCTTAAAATTTGGATACTGATGTTAAGGAAATAAAAGAACATAGATTCAAGTATCTAAGCTCAAGGGGAATGTTTTAGTAGTTGTGGACGATCACATGTATTTATGTTAGAGAAATATTGATTCTTAAAAAAAATTTCGCAAATGAATGGTTTTTTTAACTTTTTCATCTCTTTACAAAACATTTCGAATCGTAAAAACTTTTGCTAATTTAAAATTTTACTCAGATGAGTTGACTGATTATTCGAGAATTTTTCAAATAATCAGTGTACTAAAAAAGAGAGTCCAACTCATCTGAGTAAATTTCTTTTTAAATTGAGTTTTTCAAATCTGTTCCCTCGGTAACACTTTTTTATCATGTGTGGGTAAAATTTAGTTGATCAGTGAGTGCAAGGTCAATATACTTGTAGCATATCACATACTCTTTTGCATCCTTCACCATAATTTTGGCCATAAACAACAAAGCTGTAGCGGCACCACATCTTTTTTTGATCATTATTTTGATCACAATATGTATGGGAAGGTGACTCTTTTCATGTCTTTCGTCCTCATTTCTTGTGTAGGATATGGACTTTGTCAAATTATGCTTAACTTTATAATGACTATTTTTGACATTGTAATATGCGATAGATAGAAATTTTGAAGATATTTAGCAGCTATAATCATTGTTTTCTTTCCTAACTTTTAGAAGAAAACAGAAAGTTATTTTAGCCATGATCTTTATTGCTTAAAACTACTTGAGAAAAATAAGTGGTCGAAGCTGGAGTTTAATTTTCAGCCTTATATTTCAATTTTTTTATCAGAACAGTACAGTGATATGATGTAAAAAAGACCATGAACATGAACAGTGTAATGCGATTAAACTTTGCGAAATGTTGAATATTTCTTATTTTGTAAATGTTAATTTTTATCAATGCATGACAGTTAAGATATGCTTCACTTTCCAATATTTTCAAAAATAGTATAAAGTGTAAACTTTTTAAAGCTTCAACTATTTCTATCAATGAAACAGAAGCTCAGATTATTCTTACACGTCACACTTATCCTGTCCATATCAGCAAAACATTTGTTCAGTATATTCACGCACATTTATGTAAAAATCCATTTTCGCTCAGACAAAACATTATACATTATGTATTCGTATATCAAAAGATAGTCGGCTTGATAAATAGAAATTTGGTAGATATTTCTTTTTCGGTAAATTAGAAATTTCAATGAAGCCTTAATCAATTCGTTTGAAATCAGGTTTCTGAAAACGCTTTGAAAAAAGATGCACTGGATTTTGCAATCTGGAATTTTATAAAATATAGTTAGATACAGTGAAATAATGTGTAATTTAAGTGATAATTAACTACGAAATAATTCAGACTTCTATATATCACACATTAGTGAGATTATCTTTAGCATCCATTATTGTTCAAAAATAGTGCTACATTCAAAACTGTGATGATATAACAGATGAATAAATAATGACTTAAGTGTGTGATTATTATGCTTTATCACGTCGAAAATTATAAGACAAATTGATGGTTGTAAATCTCCCACAATGACAAAATGAAGATACATTTTGCATAGATATGTAAATCTGGAAAGAAAAAGGAAGAAGCTTGGAAATGATGATTTAGCAGACTGATATGATATGGTGGTCGTCGTCACAGGGATGGATGGATGGGTACCAAAAACGGAACAGCAAATATTTCTCACTGCGCAGTACGTGGCGGGACGAAATGGAATGTGCACTCGTCTGCATTGTTGAAAATGGCCTTTTACTGAATTCATGATCACTTTTTTCTCCCAAATATAAACAAATACCACAGATCGTCGTCATCGTTGCTGTTGCCATCATCACATTCACTGCTGCCAACTAGCCCGATCCTTTTTTGGAATTCTCGAACACTTGATCTATCATCAATTGACAGTTCAGCTTTTGTACATATATACATCCTTTTTTTCTAATTCTTTGTTTCAATTTTCAAAATATTTTCTCGATATTTCCAATAGAAGGTATTACAATTTCTTTATATTAACATGCAACCTCGTTCTTTTTTTCATGCACACAATTTTTGTCTTTTCAAACTAATTTAATTTTAATTTTAATTTTTTGTCAATTTATTTTTTTGAAAATGTCAAATCTAATTTTTGATTTTTTGGTAATTTTTAAGTTTATAGTTACAGAACATTTTAGAAATGTTTGACTAATTGCATTCTAATCTTGAAATATTCCAACTTCAGATTTTTATAGAGATCAAGTATTCTTTTTTTTGGAAGAAAATTAGCAAACCATAGAATAAAAAAAAATATTTTATTCCACAACTAGAAAAATGAAAAAATCAACCAATCATTTAGTGATAACATTTAAACAAAATATTAATGGATTTATTAGTGCAACATAAATTTGGAATAAGCACATTATTTGTGAAATCAGTAATTTAAAAAAAAAAAGGAATTTTTGTTTGAACTGTCCAATGTTGTTTGTTTTGATCAGTGAAGAGTATCGTATCATCATGAAATAATCCTCAGTGATAAAAATATCTTATTGATAAAATCAATGCTATTCAATACACTCTTACCATGGCCAATAATATGCAAATGACAGTTCCTCAAATGTTACTGGTTGGAAGTGTAAAAATAAGTAAGAGCCAAAATTGGGTCAATGGAGGAGCTGTAACAGTAAATCCATTCGTCCCGTCACCACCTCCTCTTTCCTCTCTCCAGTTTTAGCTGAATGTGAAATTGGCGTAGGCATCTTTAACTCTACAAATGAAGCTTCTATTTGTGTGTGTGTGTGTGTGTGTGTGTGTGTGTGTGTGTGTGTGTGTGCTTGTGCTTGTGCTTGTGCTTGGCATTGATGACGACAGTAGTCAAAAGTTAGCTTAGTTAATAGTTCTTTCTTTCCTCTTACCCTCTTATAGTTTTGCTACTGCTTCAAATTGCAAATGTTGTTTAGCTTGAATATGGCTTGAACTGGAAGAGGAGGAGGAGGAGGAGGAAAAGGAAGAGGAGGAGGTGGAGGAAAGCAAAGGCGGAGGAAGTTTGAAAATGTTCCATCCTTTTCTTCTGAATCTCTCTCTTTTCCTGTCCCCTTTTCTCTCTGTACTTCTTGAGCAGCTTTACCAAGTACGTTTTATGTAGCAGTAGCAGCTCGAACTTATTATCTTCCTTCCTTTCTTCCTTCCCTCATCCTCCTCTAATATGCATACAATTTTTAAAATTCACATTTTCAAAATCTGCCACGATCTATCTATCTATCTATCTATCTATCTATCTATCTATCTATCTATCTATAACTGTTCTGGATAGATCTAAAATGTGTAGTTTCATTCAAGAGCTGTGATGTGAAGTGGTGCTATCTTGTCTAAATCTGGATAGCTAACATATATATTCCTTTAGAGTGTAGCAAAACATTTTCTAGAAAAAACTATTTTCTTTCATTTCATTTTTTTTGTAGCATACAAAATTTACTAACTGTTCTTGTTGTCCCACAAAATTCTTTTTATCTTTCTTCTTCACAATATCATCATTTCTATGTTTTTAGTCTTCTTGAATTATAATGCATACTATTTTTCTGAATTAAACTTATACCAAAAATGATTTTGTTTGTTTTTTTTTGAGCTCGAAATATTTGATATATTGATTGATACTGATAGCATATAATTATATCTGTATTTGCTGACTATGAGCATGGTTCCTGGTGAGACGTGCTTCAATTTGAATTTCACTAATCCTGGATCTAATTCACCATGTCAATCGCTACTTTTAACACCCAAAGAAACGGTATGTTTTATTTATTTTTCTTTCACCAATTATTTTTATTGAAATATTCATTTGTTAAATAATTATTATGTTCGTTGATTTGGTTTGCTTATTCCGAAACTGTCAACTGATATGATAAGAATTTGTAATAAGATGAGAAATATGAAAAGTCCATAGATGTTATCCAGAAAAACCCATGGGTGTTATTCAGCTTCTCGAGATCAAGGCTATGAGAAGAAGATGAAGTTGTAATAATGACATATCAGCTTCAGGAGCGTAGAATGAGCAAAAACTATTATGATCATTTTCCATTGAAATAGCGTCAGGAGCTTATGGTTATCGGATTTCTTCCGAAAAGAATTCTAAAATTCTTTTTAACTTTTGAGGTAGTATTCTTTTCGATACTGATAATAACATAGAATGAGTGATTCAATTTAATGTATCATTCATAATTACCAGCTGTCGTAACTATATTTTCATTAGACACTCGTGTAGTATATCGCTTAAATGAGTTTTTTGCAAGTTAGTTTAAATTTTTGGAATTAAAGTGAATTTCATACCAGTCACTTTTTTTAACAGTGAAAATTGATCATAACAAATAAAATTATGATCAGAATTTTGATTTTATAGATTTTTTTTACCTTAAAACTGATCCTTTTAAGAATTTTATTCCTTTTTTGACATAATTCCGGAAATAGCTAAAGAGTGATGGAATTGTGTATTTAAAACATACAACTTGTGGTTTTTACCATAAAATGCATAAATTTAAATGCACCTCCGTAGACCTTCAATTTTATTTTTAATTTCGAATTAAATCAGGTAAAATTTTGTTTTGAGGTTAGAAGATGGCTTTAATTGGAAAGGAAAGAAAGCTGAATGAAGTGATAGGTACCTATTATTTTTGCCTATTGGTAAAGGTATGCAAAAAATGTTACTACTATTTGTGCAAAATAATTGAAGAATATTATTGCAAAAAGTTAATTTAAGTTAGATAAATTTTGCAATATGTTTCGAAATGTAAAGCAGCGACAGCAATACCATATATTAATTTAATTCAAATTCCATTTATGTAAGAAATTTATCATTCACTTCGATGATTCACGAATGGAGCGGAGAGATGCAAGGAAAAATTGTTTTCTGGGCTGCGTCCGTTATCTGTATCAATGAATATACTTGTCAGATTGTTATAAAACTTGAAAATATCTAATTGAGAATGGGCCAAAAGTAGTTTTCTTTAAATTATATATGCCAAATAGAGATTATTTTTTTATATATTTTGTTGAGATTATAAATTGCTCATACAGCAAATGAAAGAATCAGCAGAAAGCTGAAATTACTAAAAAGTATGTGTAATTTGTTGTAAAACGCTTGTGATATGATAATATGTTGATAAGATCGCAAAGTTAAAAGAATTTTTAAAAGTGTTCATGATGCGTCGTTCATTAAAATCTACCCTGAACAAATGTCACTATTTATTTATTAGAATGTATCCTTCTTGCAGTATTGTTATTTCATTAAAGTAAGATGGTTTTAAAATTTTTTGAGAAATTTAAAAGTATTTTCCAAATTTAAATGAATTAATTTAAAAGAAACCCTGCTTGGACCAATAATTCATCATCACTATTCTGTATTTTTTCACAAATTTTTATTTAGGATTTTTTCCATTCTTAATGATTGCAACGAAACAGATTCTAAAGTTCGAATTTCCGTTGCATACTTTCCAGCAAGTATCCGTTGTCAGTCATTTTTTGTCGCGCTGTTTCATAACTTTGCATGGGAATGTCCATCATTAAAAGAAGGAATTTATTTTTCTAATATAAATCTTCGCTGAGATCATTTTCTTGCTCATAGGACGGGTTTTTTTTTGAAGCGGAAGGCAATTAAAATTGATTTACATAAAATTATGTTTAATTTTAACATTTCCATAATAATATGAATTTTTGCTTGATTATTAACCAAAATAAATCTATTGCTTTAATTTTAAATTCTATACGGCGTGATAAATTTCATCTGAATGAAAAAAGTTTTTGCTGTTTAATTTAGGCCAAACTAGCAATGTAAGAATTTTCATCATATTTGAAACTTTTTTAGTATTTCCTTTAGTAAAATTATAGCATTTCACTTCACTTAAACATTCTCGAAACATATATTTTCAAAAATAAAATCATTTCTGGTTTTGTTTATTTTTATAAAATTATTAATTTCAGAATATTTTTTGATGAGATAAATTTAAGTTAAATTTACATTCCTATCAATCCTATCTTCCTGATTGTTTTCATTTCTCCCACTCTGTCAATTCCGATTATTTATAACAAATTCTCCTTTGTCGTACTCGCCTGATATAATCAGCTTGTTCAAAAGATATAAGGTTTGTTATAAATGTACTTATTTCAGAGATTCCCGACTAAAAATTCATTTTTTCTCAAAAAATATTGATGACAAATTTTGTTCATTTTATAGTTTTGTGAATATTTTCCTATTTTTTTCTATTAACGATACTTATTAAATAGTTTATTTCGTTCATATCTAAGCTCACACATTTTTGGTAGTAAAAATTAATTTTAGGTCATCCATTTGGAAACGGGTTATTTACATGCATTAGTGATGATGTCAGTTTAAAACAGAAGAAAAACACTGGCAACAATATAAATGTAGCAAAAGAAATATTATTTTTCAAAAAATTAATGTTTCCAAAATGTGTGGAAAAGGGTTGAAGAGAATTGAAGAGGGAGAGAGAGGGGAAGGGAGAAAAAGATGGGGCATAATATTATTTTAGGATATTATTATGAGAAGGAAGAAAATTATGTCTGTTTTGCTCATTTGGTATATAAAATATATATCTGTCTGTCTGTCTCTCTGTCTGTTTGTCTGTGTGTATAAATAAATCCAAACCAATTACAGTCGCAATTTATTGTTGGTTAGTTGGTGAAGATGATGATGAGAGGGTGATAAAAATGGAGAGGAGAGAAAGAGGGAGGTATTCTGAGATGAGGTTTTCTATTTGGATAGTTGGAACTTGTTTCCAATCATACTTTTGTATCATTTTGCTATTCCCGAACTAATTATTTCTGGCCCGAATTATTATTTAACTAATATCTTCATACCAGAGGTTAAATAGGCCACTGTATATGTACAAATGTTCCGTATGATTTTTAGTAAACTGAGAAAAATCTTTCACAGTTGTATTATTTCTAATATTAATTATTTAAATGACAATTAAAATATTGGAGTAAATGAATGCGATGAAACAACAAAGATTAGTGTTTTTTTGAAAAAAAATTTTGAAAAAATTAGATAAATATGAGAATTTCGATCTAATTTTTTCACCTTTTTGCTTCATTTATCAGTAAGTGTAATGAAAGATCTCAAAATTATGCTTTTAACAAATCTAATTTTTTCAAAATTTTTTTCCTCATTTGATTGGATTATATAAGTTTGTACTCAAAAATGCAACAATTGATTTATGAAATTTTTCAAAAAAATGCTATAGAACTCCCCCAAATGCTATAGAACATATTGAATAGTGATTACTAAACGATGGTAACTTTTGATGTCACTATCTTATTTGGCAAATTCAATTGTTTGATTTTTGGGGATTGAAATGTCGTAGAGAGTGAAAAGTTAATTTTGAAAGGGATGTGGCTTCCTTTCCTCAGTGTCCATTTTCATTTCATAATTTTATTGCTGATACTGATGATCACATTTTGCGCGAAATGAGGATAACATGGCATGAAAGACAAATATCTTCCAATGCCATACAAAATTATTCATTTTTCTTTCTAATAGCGAATTCAGTACTGAAAGTTATCCTTCATTTTCTAATATTTCTAATATTAAACAGCAATAATGATTTAACAGTTTTATTCAAAATTTCTATTATCATTTCTTGTGTTTAATATAGCCGATGTATATCCTTGTATGTGTCATATTTCCACTTAGAATTATCATATTAGAAGTTTTAGGAGTTATATTCCAAGACATCTAAAATTATAAGCTTGCAATTTATGCTTAAAGCTACTTAATCTATATAACAAATATTCGGCATCCATTCATCTTTCTGCTTATTATGTTGGTTACAGTTGCATGAAATAGCTTTTAAAGATTCTATCTAATATTTTTGCTATGCACTTTTAAAACTTAATATTTAGTAAATTTTACAATTCGGGTATTGCTAATTACAAATTTTCAACTAGTAAATTAATTATTTCAGTATGATTTATTTTCAGAAATGGCATGCACTGTTTAGTCAGCTTAACCACTCATTGGTCAAAAATATAAAAGAATTTTTTCCTCCCATGCTAAAATGCCAATGATAAAAATAGCAATAAATGAAAGAAAGATGAATTTTCGTGTCTAAGAGGACAAGTCGGTCATCATTTGAACTCATTCTAGAAATGACCATTGCATGAGTTGATGTCATGAAGGAAATTAATTCATATCATTTTTTCCATCAACTGTGTTCTTCTTCAGTCCTCAATAGAAGAAGGCGTAATGGGAGGTGAATGTGAAAGTTCATCACCGCAACTGCAACATCAGGTGAATGAAGGTACGCCAACATTACCGAATGGAAAGAAAACAAAAGGTATAAATTGCAACTGTAAAAAATTGAACTGATAATTGAAACGGGGTAGGTATATTTGTTTAACACATAAATTTGCATATAATTATCGGGCCATCCAGGATTATGGATAAAATTTTAACCTGAACGTAAAATACTTTTCATAATCAAGTCTAAATTGTTTATTCACTTCAAAAAAATTTTCCAATTCTTTGTTATGCTCAAAATTCAAAATAATATCGACTTGAAATTTACCGTGCTTATCCTTTTCCAATTATTTTATTCTTGCACTATAGATGTTTACAGGAAATCATTAGCCTAATTAACCACAATTTTAAATTTAATCAGTAAAATTTCGAGAATTTGCAGTAAATTACCTATCGTATTCGATTCAGACAGGTATATATGCATATTTGTATATATGTGTGTATGTTTTTTTTTTTCCTTGTAGTTATTTCTGTGTGTGATTAAATGATGTCATGTTTAATGTCATTATTTTGCAGGTCGAGTAAAGATAAAAATGGAATACATTGGCAATAAACTGCGAAGGTACACAACATTTAGTAAAAGGAAAACTGGAATTATGAAAAAAGTTGGCATTCCATTATTGTTTTTTTGGTTTTCTTCTCAACAAGAGAAAAAGGAAAAGAAATGAATTTTCTAGTATAAATTTATCGGTTCTAAGAATTGATTCATTTTCTGATGATAATTATTTGCGAATTTTTTCTGCAAATAATCAAATTTAATTTTCATATTAAACTGATAGCATTTTTTTCTCCAGGCCTATGAATTATCAACGTTGACAGGAACTCAGGTAATGTTACTGGTAGCATCGGAAACAGGTCATGTTTATACATTTGCTACAAAGAAATTACGACCAATGATCTCTTCCGAAGCTGGGAAAACACTAATTAGGAATTGTCTTAACACTCCCGATATTGGTTTGTGTGCTTTTTTTTGTTTTCCTAATGATGTTACTTTCTGTTCAGATGTCTTTTTAATACTTCATCAGAAGTTTTGAAATAAAAGATAATTTAATCAGTTAAAATTAAACACAAGCTATAAATTAATTTAAACATTTTACACTTTAAATAAGTTTACTCTTCAAGCTATCTTAACAAATAGATTACCAAAGCAAAATTTGCTGTTTTGTAGCATTTTAAATTGATAAAGCTGTTGACTAAATGTGCTTGCAGTTATTTGCATGCAAATTCGTTTCATCATCAATCATTATTCTCTTCTAGATGATGCGGTTGATCCACTCGGGGCACGACAAGAATTTACATTTGAGCCACAACCAAATATATCAAGAAAGCGAAAATTAAATGAGGTTTGTTCACATGTAATTTGAGTTGAAATTGCGTCCGATAAATCATATGACGAAAATATACCATCAATTCTCTTATTCGCAAAAACTTCTCACATCTGTTGACCTCATCAATTCACAGAGAAAAAAAGCCATTTGATTGTTTTGAGCATAATAATTCATGTTTCTTTTTTTTGAAGTCGCTATACCTAATATAGTTATACATTAGATGGTTGTTAATAAAGAAGAAAAAGAAGAGAGGCCTTAACTTGTCTGAATTTTGAATTTCATGAAGTAAATCTTATCACCGTAGTTTTATCGTTAGCAGTATATAATTGTTGAGATTATATGAGTGCTAAATTTAGATTAAAGTTGAAACAAACAAGCAGATGACTCTCCAGTTTCTTTCTTCCGCTAACTCTAAGTGTTATGATCGCCTCACTCTTCCCAACTAACAGCGCCATATGAATTCTCAAATTTCGAGAAAAAAAAATACAAATGCGATGTCATTTCAAAATTTTTGATGCCCAGCAATGATTGCCCTTGAAGGTACGGTAAAAAGAAGATGCGAAATTGTTGCTGTCATCATCAAATAGGCAATTGGTGTGTGCGTGTGAGTGTGTGCATGTGCATGTGCATATGCGTGTGCGTATGCAGTTGTCTACATTCTATGTTGTGTCACAGCATCGGATGGCGTTGTCATTTCAATGACAGCCAACCAGCAAGCAATTCAGGATGTCGCATTCCCAGGTGGACACCACCGTATAACCTACATCATATCACCGTGCGCTCTTGTCCTATGTCCTTTCATGCATTCTTCTTTCCTCTCTTTCAATTCTCCTCCCCTTTTCCATTCTGAATCCTCCGACAAATACGGTAGTGATATTGGATAGAAGCCTAGTCCAATCCAATATTTCCTTTCTTTGCTATTCAGTCAGCCTTCTTGATAGTATAATTACAGATGCAAATAATTATTCTCTCTTATACTTATCCTTTATTGTCCTTCAATTTCATTTTAATTCTTTGTAATTTAAAATCCGAATTTACCATTAAATTATTTAGCAATCGCTTTATTAGTATCATTTGATTTCATTGCGATAACATTTTAGATATAAGTTTAAAAAATGGGATTCTTTATCAGCTAATATTTATAGAAATTTTGTAATTGAAATAATTTAACTTTATCAAATTTTGGAAATTTTTTGCTTGTCCTTCTCAAATTTCCTCAGCATGAAGACAACAAAAATAAGTATTTCTCTGATCGTTGTTGGATCCCAGAAAATTTGGGAGCAAAAGGGAAGAAGGAAGCAGCAACTGCCTGTTTGCCCAGATCTGTTCCTATCAAGCACTTATACATCCATCCATCCTTCCTCCATTACATCTATCATCCAAAACATACACATATATCCCTTCCAGCTAGTTTGTTTCACACATACACATATATATATATATATATACTTTTATACGGGAAGCTTGAGATAGGAAGAAGAAAAGGCCAGCGGCGTCATTTTCTTGAGCCATCAAAGCCACCCACTCTTTCATCATCCTGAAAGCAAGAAGCTTTCCTCTTTCCATTCTCATTAAATTCGAAGAACATACCCAACAGAGCAGGGAAGAAGGAAATCTCGGAAGGGGGCTTCCCTGTCAAGCAAATATGTGCAACAATAATAATGCAAGCAAGCAACAAGCAACAAGCAGGCAAGCAAGCATCATCAACTTCTCAACGACAACATCATCATCACCACCACCACCACCACTACCTTGCAACAACAACATTGCCACTATCAGCAAACTAATGTGTAAAAATGTTTAAAGGAGAAATGAAGGAAAGATATGCTCCTCAGATGGCGGCTCAACAAATGGATAGATTGATGGAATTTATGCATGTGTACGTATATATGTATGTGTGTATGTGTATGTGTGTATGTGTATGTGTG